TTTCCCCAAAACGGGCCAACAAGCCTACTACGGTGCAGGCCTGCAGGACGGGCGGCGCAAAAACAACACATGAAGAACACAAAGAAATTTGAACCCCAATATTTTTTTGAATTGAAACCCCAAGTTCGAACTTACAAACGTCAGAAGTAAAGTGAGCTTGGCAGAGATGAAGCTGAATCTAAAGGGGCCGCCTTCAAGACAAGGGGGCTTCAGCTCAGGAAGTAAGCTCTGAGAACGCCGGGCGGTCCGTTGGTCTCGATGTAGTAGCCCTTAGCCTCCTCAACCGAAGGATGATCGAGAGTAAGAATGCGTCGCGCCAATCTCCAGCAATCAATGAAGCAGACCGATCGACGAAGCGCGTTTGGAAAATCCCCATGTTTTAAAGACCCACGAACAACATCAACTAAGAAAAGCTGGAACCACCCCCAATGACGCACTTAGAACGATGGGCGCAGCGGGGGGGACGACGGCCCCTCTAGCAACCACTACCCCCATCGTTTCCCCAAAACGGGCCAACAAGCCTACTACGGTGCAGGCCTGCAGGACGGGCGGCGCAAAAACAACACATGAAGAACACAAAGAAATTTGAACCCCAATATTTTTTTGAATTGAAACCCCAAGTTCGAACTTACAAACGTCAGAAGTAAAGTGAGCTTGGCAGAGATGAAGCTGAATCTAAAGGGGCCGCCGTCAAGACAAGGGGGCTTCCGGTGAACATTGAATTAAAAAGCAACCCTCCAGGAAAGAACTCAATCCCCCCTCAAACTCAAACGAAAGTGAACATTCAAAGTCCTTTACCAAGTGCCCGTGATCCAAAAGCAGTTCATGTTGCAAGCTTAGTACATGTGGTGAAGCCTTTTAGCAATCCCTTGTGCTGGCGCAAGCGAATACACAATTGCCTTATTATCAGAGCCTTAATTAAATGAGGCCCATCATTGCTGACAACAAATTTCAGACCGTCTCACCACTGGAACCCTGCCAGTTCGAGTTCTGCCGCTCAGAAAAACTGAATCAATATAATAATACCACAATCGCCTTGCCATAATATAGCCTCTCGCCCCTCAAAGTTCTTCCTGGCCCCTCAAACCCGTTTTAACAGCTCATTTTCAGTGGGGCTCCAGGCAACGCCGTTAATCCAGGCAATATCATTACCCGGCTGAACCAACTCAATGCGAAAAAAATCTAGCCAAGTGCCCCAAAAACTTGATGGACATGACTATGATGTCCCCTCTGAGAGCCCGGCAGACAGTGACAGGGCTCCCTGGCGCAAACTCAGTGGTCTTGGCAGCAGCCGTGTGGGGGGTGTTATTTTAAGGGCGCAAACGGACCGGCAGCGGTCCCTTCAAAATATAATTCCCAGAGCTTGGGGGGGGGGTCAAATGCAGTTGAACGAACCACCTTGAACTTGACAATCTTGTTGCTTGAGGCCCTGAAACAGTTGTGAAAATTGGAGGGCTCGAGCAAATGTGAAAATTGCCAAGGCTTTCAAATAAAACGTTCGTCAGGCCGAACATACTACACTTTCCAGCAAGTCAAGCTGTGTGTGCTTGAATGTCAAACAATCACAATTCCCAGCACACCTGTTAACGAAACTTTCTTGATTTGAGAGGTGATCAGAATCACCAGGCGAAACGCGCGAAAGAAGGCCATGGTCGCGAAACGCTGTTGGCCCGCAGAGGCACACGCGCGCGCGCACGCAGTAGCAATCAGAGCGCCCAGTGCAACTCAACTTTCTTCCTCACTTGTCTTTCCAGTGATGCGGGCTCGCGGCAAGTAAGTGCTGCGCTGCACTTGGTCGCTCGGTTGGTGTGATTCGCCTGCGTGTTTGGCTCATCGGCAGAGGGTTGTGATGGTCGTGGCATTGCGTGCGTCATGTATGCTTTGGAGGCTGAATAACTTAACCGTTGTGACGGGGCCTGCGTGAAAACGAAATGAAATTGGCATGAAAACGCCATGAACGCGACATGATTAAGCTCGCAGTAGCCACAGTGTCAAGTTTGCTCGGTTGCAAGCAACATGAAGACAATGTTGAACATGACATGACAACATGAAAATGTGCCCAGTTGCCAGCAGCATGAACATGGCATGACATTCAATGAACACAGCCAAACAACAAGCAACAAGCACGCACAAACAACAAGCACGCATACAATATTAAATCAGCTAAGTCATCTGTACAAGTTGCTAAAAAGCTATGAAATCAAAACATGGGGCAGACATGAAACCGCCATGAAAACGATTCCGATGCCAGCCTGGTTTTCTGTGCCCGGCGTGCCATGAAAGAAAGAACACTAAGTTTGAGCACCCAAAGAATTCGGTTTTAAACAAAAAAACCCACAGTTTAAAAAAATAAAAAAAAAAAAAAAAAAAAAACAAAAAAATAAAAAAAAAAAAAAAAAAAAAAAAACATAAAAAAAAAAAAAAAAAAAAAAAAATATAAAAAAATAAAAAAAAAAAAAAAAAAAAAAAAAAAAAAAAAAAAAAAAAAAAAACAAAAAAAAAAAAAAAAAAAAAAAAAAAAATCAAAACCTACTCCTATTCAATCTACTTTAAAACAAAGAAAAAAAATAAAAAAAAAAAAAACATGCTCAAACATCCATATTAAAAACAAGCAGTTCAAATACAATCAAATCATCTAAACCTAAAACACTAACATAGATTTGTTCTGAATAACAGTTTGAACAACACTGTATTGCTGGCAAAGATGAAGCAGCACTACAGCAAACTCCATAATTCAATTATTTGGGCGGGTTGCCTGGGTTTCGTTGATGGAGCCTGTCAAAATAAATTGTTTTGGGCCGTTGAACACCTCCAGGAAAGAACACAAGCCTGACACTGGGGCCGAAAGTTGGCACCCCCAAGAAAGAGCGAGCCCTTTCACCAGCAACCGAAAATCGAAGGTGGACTGAACATTTTTGAACAAATATCTTCCGACATGACTCTCTGACCAGGATGTCAGGTGACCGATCATTTTTGAACAAATATCTTCCGACATGACTCTCTGACCAGCATGTCAGGTGACCGATCACCCGTGAAGCCTCGTAGCGGGCGAACTCGTGTTGAACGGCTCAGGACTTGAGGACCTCAGGAGATAGGCGAAATAATCGCATGGGGCGCAACAGAAAAGTTGAAAACTCCCTTAGATCTCATAATTATTACGGCATACAGCATGTGTTTCATGAAAACTTACGGGCCGAATTCAAAATTGAGGGGAGCGTTTCTCCCAGAAATCTTCTAGCTACCGTTTCATGCAAACCCTCATGCGTCAGGGCCTAATCCTCCTACAAAACTTTGGGCTGTTTAAATTCCGGACGACCACCAGCAGGCCAGGCCAGGTTCAATTGCCAAGGTTGGAAGCAGCTTCTTCTCGAGGAAGTCGAACTCCCTGGTCTGCGAACGCTTTCATCAGTCCAGGAAGAATCTGATCAGCGCTAGTCCTCGGCAACAATACCATCGAGATCCGCGTGCCCTCGAAAGGCATAGCGCAGTGGACGGCGCCCTGCCGTCGAACAGAACCAGCCTGTTCCGGATGTCGTGCTTGTCGCGCCCGGCCATTTTATGTAGGGCCGAAAATCTCCAGGATGGCAGCAGCCCGATCGACGAAGCGCGTTTGTAAAATCCCCATGTTTCAAGACCCACGAACAACATCAACTAAGAAAAGCTGGAACCACCCCCAACGAAGCACTTAGAACGATGGGCGCAGCGGGGGGGACGACGGCCCCTCTAGCAACCACTACCCCCATCGTTTCCCCAAAACGGGCCAACAAGCCTATTACGGCGCAGGCCTGCAGGACGGGCGGTGCAGATGTCGACCCATGAAATGAACACACAGAAGTTTGAACCTCAAGTTGGAAACCCCAAGTTCGAACTTACACATGCCAATAAACGGGAAGTAGCGTTGACAGAGTTTAAAAAAAAACTTTGAACAGCATAGATCCTATATTTTAATTAGGGGGGTCGCTTGGGTTTCGTGGTGTCAGACCATCTGACGCAGCTCCAGCACTGATCCCCAGCTCCTGAGAAGAAAAATTGACTCCCATAATAACATATATAACTCCTCAATTTGAATTTGTCACATGGTTAATGCTGCAAATCAGTAAAAGGTCCTTGATGTTGAACCTTGATGTTGAAAAGAAAGTTGGCCCTGACACGAACTCGCCTGTGCGTGGGATTTGGATTTAGGGCCATCTTGTCATTGTGGATCAAGCGCTCCTGGCAATAAAGAAGCTTATCATTCAAACGGATTATCATTCAAATGGCTTATCATTCAAATGGCTTATCATTCAAATGGCTTATTCAAGCGGTGTGGCAGGCCACTTGGAAGTTGAACCCTTAAAATGACATATCCCTAATAATCCCAGGTCTTGTTTAACTCCAAGCGCAAAACCAAGTAGGTCAACTGACATGTTCCACTGACTGAGCAACGCCGCACAAACAACAAGATGAATCAAGATGAAGCAAAAAGCAAACCCAGCCCCGCTTCACTTGGGCGCCTGGCTGTGGCACGCTGCAGGAGCCAGCCCGCTGTTTGCTGGCAGCTTGCCCCTCCCTAAAAAAATGCAGGTTGGGTTCAATCACTATGACAAACTGCGAAACTTCCCGCTTCAGAAACTGAAAAGCAAACAAGAAAACCTGGTCTAGCGGCTATACCTGGACTGGGCAAGGTTTCATGTCTCCCACCCAAGTCCTGAGCGGTTCCAGGACTTGGTAATTCAACCTGCTTGTTTCGAACACTCGTAATAGCGGGGGGCCCATATATATTTCCAAGTCCTGGGTGGCCCAGGACTTGGGAGTGTAAATTGCTTGTCTTCAATGCTTTCACAGTTCTCCAGGCCTTGATGCTCCAAGGCCTGGCCAAGTCCTGGTGGTCCAGGACTTGGGAATGTAAATTGCTAAGGCCTGGCCAAGTCCTGGTGGTCCAGGACTTGGGAATGTAAATTGCTAAGGCCTGGCCAAGTGGTTCAGGACTTGGGAATGTAAATTGCTTGTCTGGTCTGCTTTTAATGCTTTACAGTTGTCCAGGCCTTGGTGCTCCAAGGCCTGGCCAAGTCCTGGTGGTTCCAGGACTTGGTATTTGAACAGTGACAGTCTGGTTCGCTTTTTCATACATGTTCCAAAACTGCACAATGAACTGAGACACAAGCTACTATGCAGCTGAGAAGGGTTTCAGTATTAATGTTGCCTTTGCGTCCTAAAACACCTGTGGTGGTTCTTTGTCAACACCATGCTGGACAAAAACGAGAAGATGACTTTTGATAAGAGAAATCAATAGAACAACATGCAAACCACAACCAAGAGTTTGTTTTTTAGAACACGTTCAAAACACACAAAACACACACCAACTAGTTTGACATGTTGTAGAATAACATGCAAACCACTACAAATAATTTAATGTGGTTTTCAGGAAACATGGAAGACACACAAAAACACACAACACGTTGTTTGATATGTTGTAGAACTAACATGCAAACCATAGTTTTGCTTTTAGGAAACACAAATAACATGTCAAGAAATGGCATAGCAAACACCACACCCCACACACACAACAAATGAGCTTGACATTTTGTAGAACAACAGGCATACCACAACCAAGAAATTGATGTTTAGAAAACATGCAAAACACCATGGGGTTTCTGGAACGTGCTAAAAGGGGGCCAGAAAGTCCGAGAAGCTTGCCTGGTCCGGGTTCTCGCATGCCATCGGGTCGGTGGCCAGCTCGCTGACATCCACCGAGGCGCTGAGCTTGAGGTCGCGGGCCCGGTCCGTGTCAGGGCCATCGGCACCTGCGGACCGAGCCGCCGTCCAGACCGCATTGCCCTGGTCATCCACCGTCAACTGCCAGTGCGTGCCCGCCATCTCCAGGGTGGCCGAGTTGGTCGCCATGTCAATGGGCTCCGTCTGCTTGCCGCACCCCATACACTTCCTGGCGCCCTTCTTCACCCAGGGCATGGTGCAGCAGGGGCAGATCCAGGATGTGGGCTCCTTACCCAGGGGGCGGTTCTCCAGGCCCCCAAACCCCAGGCCAGCGCGCTTGCCGACCTGCTGTCCCGGGGTGCTGAGCCGGGCCTCATGCTCATACTTCATCTTGGCGATGTAGAACGCCTCCACCACACGCTCCAGGCCCCCCTGCTTGAGTTGGGGGCCCTCAAAGCCTCTCAGGAGCCGCTGGACGTCCTGGGCCTGCAGTCGGCGGAGCCTAGTGGCCGTGGTCGCATCAAAACACGGGAAGTCGCCCGCCATCTGGTCATCGCTGAATTGGTAAAGGCCCTCAGAGACTTTGAGGGCCTTGGTGAAGACGCTTCCCCCCGGCGGGGGGGCGGGGTCGTCATCCTCCTCCGAGGACGCCTGCTCCCTGACCTTCGCCATCAGATCACAGCGTCTCTGCCACTTGGTGTCGGACATCGGGAGCTCCTCCTCGTCTTCCGCCAGGAGTTCTTCCATGGGAACATCCTTCTCCGGCGGGTTTAGGAGCTCCAGGAACGCCCCTGGGGGGCGTGTCAGGGCCTTCGGCACCTGCGCCACCCCAGGGGCTGAGTCTGCCATCAGCTCGTCCTCTGCCTTGCGCTTGGCTGGGATGAGTGGGGCCTGCTCCAGCTCATCGGCGCTGGAGAAGAACCGCTCGTCAGGTGCCTGAGGGACCTCAGCAGCCAAGACGGTCCATCCTTCTTCCTCCTTCTTCACGAGGCTTGCCAGGTACTTCGCCATGGAGGCCTTTGCCTTCGCCTTGGCCTCTGCAACCGCGGCACCAGCGTAGGCGGGGGCGTACATGGCTTTGATAGGAGGGGAAAGAAAGATTTCAGATTACAAGACAGAAGGTCAGAGTCCACTTGAGCCAAAATGGTGGCCCAAGTGGACACTTATGAAGAGTCAAGACAAGCGACCACCTGCGGTTAACGCTTTAGCCCAAAATACCTTCTTCCCGACCAACCAAGGGAGACAGAAAAAATGCGCTCTGCTGCCCGCCGATCATTTCGGAGCCTCCGGCCATGGGATCCTCACTTTGGAGGCGTACTTTCAGCGGAAAAAAAAGACACAGCTCGGCCTTGGGCAGATCCGGCGCAGGGGGGAAGGGGGGTGGGGGATTGTTGGAGAGTCTCCTGTCTTGTTCTTGGTATGTGTTGCAACAAAAAACAAGAGAGGCTTCCAACAACTCAGCTTCCCTCCGAGTGGCTTGGAACCCACGGGGTTGGTGTTCCGGGAGGTTCCCATTTACCCTCAAGGACCCGGGGTTCAAGATCCAACCCACCAATCCAAACCGCCAACTAAGGCTACCTAACACATGAGTCTTTCTCCAAAGTAACTATGTGGAAGCCTTCAGACTGAGTGGTGTCCTTTTGGCTTCGTTCTCAACGCACCCTCTTTGAAAGAAGTGAAGCCGGGGTGAGTCCTTACTCCCCAGATTCACATGGGGCAAACCAAATAGAGGAGGGGGGCAACCTCATTTGGGTAGGTGTCAAAATAGGGGAACCCCCAAAATTGTAGTCTTCCCTTTGAAGCAGTCTAAAGGGTACCATTATTCGAAAGGAAAAACGACTCCTTCGAAGGTTCCCCTGTTGGGTAAGCAACATTGTCCGAATTGCTTGCTCAAGCATCATCAAGTCAGCACGGCCTGGCACACCCATGTTACCACGGTCTGATCATGTTGAACATATGCCCTCCACACGTTGCCACGCTGCCACCTCTCCCTGGACACATTGTTCATTCCAGGTACCCTGCCTCGAAGAGGGGGTTGCCCTCCCCGAGCGGGCCCAGGGGCACCATGAGGCTCGGCATGCCCTGCAGATGCAAAGGTGCAACAGCTCACAAAGAAATACACAACATGTGTATACCGAGGAAAACAACATCTGTATACCAGGGAAACAACATGTGTGTGCCAAAAAGAAGAAAGTCGCGAGTCGTCTGTGGGGTCTGTGGGTTGGCTTGTTCAAACCACCTGGAATCGTTTAACCCAAAATGGCACAAGTCGCTTCCTGGTCCTCATCCCAACAGAAGCTACTGATTTGTTTGACTGACTCGCGAGACGAAACCATTCCCACGTCTCCCTTCGAGTCCTGGGGCTCACGAGCCCCACCGACGGAAGCGGTAGCCTAAAGCCAGAGCTTCCCCACTTGCAATGGTCATGTGGGATGCCTGTGTTTGAGCAAGGGCCCATTTGGGCCCCTCTTTTTAGAGGGTCCCCCGCTTTTTTGGTGGCTTTAAGAAGAGAAGCCAAAAGGAAAACCGGTCCACAAAAAAGACACCCATTTCGGAGAAAAAACTTACAAAAACAGCACCTCTGCCAGAATCTACGCGTCCTTTCCCGGTTGAACACCATCAAACCAACTTTGTTGGCTCCACATACCCATCCTCTGACCCTGGTTTCGACACATACACATTTGGATGCGTGCCTTGCTTTGGGAAGGAATAAACTAAACGCGCGTTTGGCCCGGTCTCGATAGATGAGTCCAGAGTGTCCAAAGCGCTGGAATACATGAGCCACTGGGTTTGTGAACGTGTCGCCATTGCCCGCACGCAACTTTGTTGCGCATAACTCCTTTTGGAAGACTATGTTGATCTGGACAAATGACTATAACTTACTGTTGCTCAGTGGGGAATGTCGGAATTCAGGGATTCCCTCAAAGGAAACCACAAGGGATGGTTTATAGGAGTCATTCCCTCATTCCCTACTGAGCACCAGCAAAGATAATGTAACACGCAATCCCCCATGCAAGGCACCTTTTGGGGATATTGAGAGAAAAGCCCCTTCGGCAAGCTAAATTTCGAAGCTTGGCATATCCAGCTACCCGAAGGCACCGCAAACAGGACAAAAAAGCCATGTCGCAGCAGTTGGTATATCCAACTAGTGCCTGGCGTGTAGCTTGTCCATCAAGCCCAAATGTCTCCACCGAAGAGTCGCTTTTTGTTGATCCAAATCTGGGGCACACGAAGAAAACAACTGGTGGCCATATCAAGTGCCCATGGGCATCGAGCGCCACTCCAATCGGCCATAAGCCCCTAGGATAGACATATTCTGAACTGCTGGTCCATATGTAGTCTGCCCAATGCACAAATACGTTTGCAGGATATCATCGTTTTCTTGATGCTCGGCACCGTTTTTGGGAGGGTGGTCAAGGAAAACTGAACGGCAAACCCACCTTTTAAAGAGGCGACCCCTGCTTGCTTCGCCTGTTTGAGTTCCTTAATGGCTGGTTTTAAAGGGAGGCCGGCAAGAACATTGTAACTTTTGAAGGTCCAAAACCCTGTTGACACATATCCAAAATGCTTGCCCTCCAAAACAAGATTCGTCTACATAGTGCTAGTACATGCTCAGATTCGTCTACAATGGGAGGTTCCCATGCAATTTGTAACTAGGTTATTGCCATGATTTTTCAGGCAACCACGGTTAGCCCCCTGCAAAACATGGTGTAACCTACTTACTAATGTTGCCTATTAGGTGGGGTGCTCCCATCAAGTGATGAATCCCCACAAAAAGGGGGACACCCCCAATCAAAATCATCCAGGGAACCTCTGCACTGAATGAGCACCATACCAAATACCTGTCAGGCATCTCTTTTAGGGCAACCCCCCAAAATCATGAATGTTCCTTTCGGTTTCCCCTAGAAAAGCCAAAACCAAAACAAAAAAACACGTATCCATAGTGAGTGCCAGGGTCCCCAAAAGCGCTACTCGCCTCATCGGAGACCACCAGCTGTGCGTGCTTGGAGGTCTCTGCTGCCAGCTGGACCGCCAGCACCAGCTCCTGAGCCGCGTGGTGCCGAGTCGAGTCGAGTCGCCGCATGCCCCGAGCGGTTTCCAGGGCCCGCAGTCAGGCTCCGTGTTAGTGGGTAAGGGCAGCCTGCCCCTCAGCCTCCCAGCTGAGAGTCCTGACTGAGGGGCCTGGTTTCGACAATTTCCCTCTACAACGACCTGTTGGTAGGTTCTGTGTTCGTGGAGGATAAACATGCGTTTGTTTCTGGGCGACGTATAGAAAACAGGTTTAGGACGTTGGTTTAGCCATTGGTTGAATCGCCTTTGAAGCATGCTCACACAACATGTCTGAAGATGGTTGCGTTCAAACTAGTTTGAACACCCATTTGGTTACGCCGCTGTATTGTTTAGTGGGTCCCACCCCCCTTTTTGTTCTACAGCCGGCGCCTCCTCGGCAACCTCGTCTTGGAGCTGGAGCTTAAGCCCGCTCTTCAGGAGCCCCTTCCTGGGAATCCGGTTTCGGACCCCTGTTCTTTAGGCCGCTTGAAAACCGAGAAGGTCAAGGAAAAGACAAAAACATGTGGCTTTTTCAGGCAGAACATGATAGATGAAAAAAAGACTAAACGTGGTTTCCCCTGTTTTTTATTTTTCTATTTCTGAAAAATGTAAGCTAAGCCTGGCCATGCTTCAGCGTGCTCACCGCGTTGGCGACCTGCAAGTCCTTGGACGTGCCTTGCTCGAGCCCAATGGAGAGGGTGGAGGGTGTGGGACGGGGAGGGTTTACATGGATGGCAAAGTCATGCGCCAAACTGCCTGCCTGGGATCCAGCAACATACCCTCCAGGAAAATGGTCCAAACCGACTCTCCAATCCGGTTCCATGGCAATATGGGTAGGGCATGAATGGTAGCGGGGAACACCTTCCACATGGCTGGTGCTTGTACTTTTGCAACCATTTGGCTGGTCCAAATGGCTGGTCCAAATGGCTGGTCCAAATGGCTGGTCCAAACGGCGGGTCCAAATGGCTGGTCCAAATGGCTGGTCCAAATGGCTGGTCCGTGTTACTACCTACCTCGTTCTCCAACCGTGCACCCATTTGGACTCGTTAACCTCGTTGTCCAAAGCCGCATGTGTTTGTGATCTCAACCACCTTTATGTCATGGCCCTACCTCGTTCTGGGGGTGTTCCTACCTCGTTTTGCGCGTAAGTCAGCAAGCTACCCAAAAACTGTTTCCACCCGGCCTTTACTGCAGTTTCCTGCAAATAAAGGCATTCGCTCATGTCAATAGCTTGGGACCCCCCGCAAAATGGTTCGGTTGGTCTTCCTTTCGGTTTCCCCCACCAAACTAGAAGAAGGGTACGCCTCAAAACACCACCAACCCCATGAAACTTCCCCCCGTACCATGGATTAGGGCAAAAGACCCAAGCCCTAAAGAACCCATACCCGAAACCCGAAACGAAGGAGGCTGCAACATAGACCCGATTCGTGCCCATCATACGCAACCTCCCGCCCCCCCGCCCACACTTCATTCCCCCACCCCCCCACCCCCCGCACCCTCCCCCCGGGCCCACCTCTGCCCACGGCATGGCCCACGGCGGGCGTCGTCGGCTCCGGCTCCGCCACCGCGGTGGCCCCCACCCCGGCGGCCGCCGCCGCCATGCCCACGGCCAGCAGCGCGCTGCCGCCCGAGGCGGCGGCGCCCGCGCCCAGGGCCAGGCCTGCGGCAAGGCGCCAAGGCGCGAAGGCGTGGGCGGAGGGGGGTGGGGGGATGTCATGGTGGGTTGGCACAGTCCTTGTTTTTTTGAACCGTCGCCCATTTTTTGAGGGGTCAACCAAGATTTTGACACCAGCCACGCCGAACTGGGCGGGAGACTGCATGGTTGTGGAAAGTCACCCGAAATCTTTGAAAGCTGTCTTGTGGTTTCCCATGACTACTTTGCCACATTTCTCAGGGGCTTCCCTTGCTATCGCAGAAACTAAGCCTCAAACCTCCCATGTTCCACCGTGGGTTTTTGAGGGTACCCTTTTGGGCCCTGTGAACTTTGCGCGGACTGGAACTTTGGGTGTCTTTGGGTGGCCATATGAGCCTTCCCAGTGTTCGAGCTCGTGTTTTGATCCAAAAGGCATTCATAACTTCAAACAGTCCGCAGCTGACCCCAATACCACACTTTGGGATTACACGCTGGAAAAATTACCCGATTATCCGAATTTGTTGCCAGGGCTGATACACCCTCTTTCAGGACACAAGTGGTGGATTGAAGGAGAAGGGCTAATTCCAGCTTCTCGGATTTTGATAGCTGGGCGTAGGGCAGGGGAAAGAACTGAAGGCGCTTGGAACAAAATTGTTTGCGTATTCACCAACACGTTGATAGCTATGTCCCTCCCAGCAAGTGAAATAAGCACTTGTGCGGCAATGGGCTCGTTGCGTTGATCCTTTCATTAACCATGGTTTGGGATCAGTCTTGAGTTGCGGCCAAGCAGCCGGCGCTAGTCAAGCCTCTCCGCTGGGTCTTTGCCACCGAAGCATGTCGCGTCGCTGCCACGCCAAGGGTGGGCAAGAAGGCGGTCTCGCTCCTGGGAAAAGTGGGCGTCTTTTTGGAAGGATTTGGACCCCCCTTAAATGGCCTTCTCGGTGTCCCTTTGAAGACGACAAACAAAGGGTACCAACTCCAAAGAAAGACACTTTTTTCTTGGCGCGCACGGATTTGCCACACAAATGTCCACATATAGGGAGATGCCCACTTGCTGGTTCTCAATAGGGACTCAAAGAAAGACTCTTTTTTTGTTTGGCGCGCACGGATTTGCACACAAAATTCCACATATGGGGAGATGGGGCGCCCACTTGCTGGTTCTCAGTAGGGACTCAAATCAACAGGGGGTTTTGGGAATAAAGCTTCAATCCCAAGGAGTCGGCCTTCACTACCCAAGTCATGGAACTGAACGGGTCCTGATCTCCAAGGAGTTGCCTCACGATGGCTTCTTGTTTCGGAAACCGAGTTCTGTGGGAGCCGAAAGGAATCAACGTGCGCCCGGGAAATCGATAAAAATCGGACGCAAGTCTCGACAAGGACTTCTGGATGACATCTGCCAGCTCCGTCTGGAACCCTTCGTCGAAGGTGCGATCGAAGTCGTGCAGTGTCAGCACTAGGCCTTGGAGCTGCTGTGACTCGGGCCAGTGGTGAGCGAAGGCAACTTGTTTCATGCGTGGTTCTTCTTTCTTTGGAGTTGGAACCCCCTTTTTGGTGGTTTTAAGGGCAAACCAAAAGGAAAACCCACCATTTTGGAGGACCCTGAAGAAGACACACATGCGTCATATGCCCATATATGGGACCCACGGCCAGGCTGATCCCTTTGAAAACCATAGGTCATGATTACAACCAGGGGTGTGGCACCAAGGGTTCCTGAACGTCATGTTCGGCTTGCAGCGGCCCTCAAAACATCCGGTCCGAGCTGACATTCGGCTCGGAACACAACATGGATCAAACAGGTTTGCCATTTAGAAGGAGTCCTCATGGGGGTGTTTCAAACATGATGGTCAGACAGGTGTATAGATCTGCAATGTCCAAAACCTAAAATAGGGGATCAGCAAGTTCAGGACCCACATCATGGCTTTCGCTCGCTTCACCCGATTGAACCGCTCGCCATCTGCAGTTTCTCGCTGTTCCGGCTTGCGGGCTGCAAATGACCCCTCGATCCTTTGCGACCCTTGTCTTGGCGTTTTATTTCTCACGTGCGATGGGAGGCGCTCCCCAGCTCCTCGGAGAAGGAGGCGTGGAAGTTGCAGATCTCGGAGCCCATGTGCTTGGCCAACAAATTCGTCACCAAACGCATGGCCTAGGCTCCGGCTCCAGCCAATTTTTGTGGCTGAGAGCCGGCTGAGACCCAAAATCAGGACCCCACACGCGCGCGCGTTCGTTTTAGCCCGGGCAACCACCAGGCGGAAAAGAGATAAACCCAGTCCCCTTTTTGGGTGGTTTGCAATGCCAACCAAAACGCAATCCTTAGCTGGCTGGACACCGGAAACTGCCTGCCCAAATGGCAAGTTGTTCACTGAACAACCCAGGCTGTTGGGGCAATCAACCTCGCGGAAATCCAACAGCGGAACCCTGGGCCGTAAACGGGTACCGCATTGAGAGTCAATGAGCTGAGGTTTATTATTATTTGATCTCGAAGGCTCCAGTGGTCCTTAACCCTCGGAAATTGAGAGTCTCTTGGAAAAGCTGGCATTCCAAAAGGGGCAAATGAGTTATAACAGTTATGGCGCAGTTTTGGTACGCCACTGGAGCTGTTGAACCTCTTGTCCTTCCTTTCGAAGCATCTGAGATTGAAGCAACGCGCAGCCCCCAGCAAGTGCTTGCCTTTTTCGAATCCCGCCAGTTGTTTGGCTGTGGGTCAAAACCAACGGGATCCCATTTTGGGTAGGTGAATTCACCACCCATTTTAATCTATTTTAGTGGTTGGATTGGGATGTTCACCCATGGCCATCTGTGGTGTGTGTGTGTGTGTACACATGTCACCATCTTTGGCTGAGCCAAAGCCTACAGAAAGGGCCACTCCAAGTTGTTGCATCGATTCATTTGCGCTACCCATGGGGTGGATAGGCCGTTGAACCTGACGTTCGGGGGGTCCTGGAAGACAACTCTCCTATCAAAGGGACCCCAAACGTGAGGTTCCATGTTAATTGGATGTTGGCTAGTTTTGTGTTGCAGGTCTGGCCAACAAACGTCCATTTGCCTGAGCTCCCCTTGGGAAAAGTAGTTGCAGTAGTGATAGATTCCCTGTGAAACCAACAGCGGAAAATAAATGATAGATTATATTCATTCAAGCAAATGGAAGCAAGCCCTCGTCTTTTTTTGTGAGGGCGAAGGGGTGACCTGGCGTTCAGCTGCGCGGCTGTAACTTCCATCTCATCTCGGGAGAAGGGCGGGGCACCTGGCAAACTGCATCTGGGTCTGGCTGATTTCTTTGGAGCCGGCACTCCTTTGTGGTATTCAAGGGAAACCAAAAGGACAACTTAGTTGGCCATGGTTGGGGTTCCCTAAAAACGTATATTATGTATATGTATATATATATATACATGTATTATATATCATATCTGCACCAATTCCTATCTTAGTGGTTCCTGGATCGCTTGCTACAAGTGATCAACTTTTACCTGAATCGCAGGACCTTCACGGGATCAGCTCGCGAATCCGAGTTCGTGCAGCAAGATATCGAAGCTGCAAAGATGGAAGCTGGTCGTTTTGTCGAGGGTACCCTCCAATCATGGGTCTTGGACAGCGGGCTTCCCCAAAGGAAGCTAGTCTTCCAAAACCCTCCGATCGCCAGCTTCCATAGTCGTAGGTGCCCTGTTGGGGTTGATTTCAGAGGCAAAAGGAAAACCACCCCAATTTCGTGGGTACTCCATTTTACATAGTCCGTGGTCCCTTGAGTAGCGATCTTCACATGGGTGTGTCTTTTGTTAAGGGCACCCGTGAAACATGGTGGTGTTCCTTCTGGTTTCCCTATAACACCACCCCAAACAGGGTAATCCCCCCCACATTGGTCCAAATGATCTAAAGACTTGATGACCATCCCTATCCCGAGTAAAGGCACGCACTTGCGTTCCCATGGAATTCGGATATCGAACTTGAGGTCGGCCAGAACAAAATCGGACTTGAGAGCAGAAACAAATGGGCATGAGGTTTGAATAGGTTTGCCATTTGGGTGTCATCCGCATGGTTGTATTTTACGTCCACCAATCATTTTTCAAAAATGAGGTCCATCAAATGTCATAGCCAAACCAACATGTAAAGCCGAGATGCCACTGGCTGCACAGGCAGCCAGAATTAGCTCTTTGGCATTTCGAAAGTCTCGAGCCGCCAGTGTGATTTCGGTGGTCCTGCACCAACTCAAAGGCTCCGCATCTAGCATTGGGCGTGTCAAAGAAGATAAGGGGGAAACCTAAACTGGCTGGGCGTCCCCTCCCCCCCTTTTTTCTTGGGTAAATTCCACCCCCCCCCCCCCCCCCCCGTTTTTCTTGGGTAAAGTCCCCCCCCCCCCTTTCCCCTTTTGTTTGAGCGTAACTTCTCCGTGTCTCACGAGTGAACCTCAAAAATAGCTTGGCGAGATCCGCTCCTGGAGTCCAGGCCGTCCAGGAGGGACTCGATGTGACTCGGCAGCAGCTGCAGCCCGGCGAGGTCCGGTCGCCAGACCTAGCTGGTCACTCGGCTCACTTGGCGCGGCTCGGAGGTTGGATTGGGGTTGATCAAAAGGTCCACCCAGAGACTCCTGGTGCTTTCAATGGAAGACCCAGCCCCTCCATTCGAAACACCGGAGGTAGTTCGGGGTCCCATGAACATGGGATACCACGAGATTTCAACCACACAGGAAAAGTTCCTCATGGTCGTGGCTCGGATGTTGGTTTGGGGTTGATCTAAATGTCCGTGATACATGGGATGACCAGTCGTTGGTTGGAAAACCGCGAGAAAAAGACAGCGATTTCACAACCACACGGGAAAAGTTACTCATGGTCAGGTGCGGGCCAGGAGTATTGATCAACCCCCGGTTGTTATTCTTTTTTGGGGGGATGCAAGGGCCACAGTTTGGTGGGTGCGGTGGGAAATGTGAGGAAACCCTGGCTTTTTTGAGGACCCCTCTGGTAAGGTCGCCTCTTGAAAAAACATGAGCTTATGACATCCTTCGAGAAGACCATATGGTCCAAACCCGGCTTTCAGCAGTCCCCTGCCGACTTCTGATGGCATTGCTGATTGCAAGAGTGGGAGAAATGGATGCGTCAAAGTACTCCAAAATTGCGTTGTGGTTCCTTTGGTTTCCCTTAAAACCAACCACAAAAAGGGGCACAAAATCAAAACCAGCCCGGGTGCTGCGCACCTCGCTCCGTATATGAGAAAAACAACTCTGGGCTTTGAAGAGCCTGATCCATGAATAAATATGTATATGTATATACGCATCAACTTTACATTATGTATATATATATATATGTGCATACATATATGGATGATGTATGTGTGGTATGTGTGTATGTATACTTACTGTATAGATACGACAGAACTGAATCCGGATGAATGCATCCCACAGCGGACAAAAACCGCCGAACGGAATGAACATGGTTTATGTCTACTGGAAGCAGGCCATGTCCAAAATCGATACTATATCTAGTCCTTTGCTGGGGCCGGCACAAACTCATTGTCTGCATCATCCTCTGGATGGTTCAGAGTCCTTATCGACAGGCCACGCGAGGGATGGGCATGTGCCAAAGACTGAGGACCGCTCCAGAGCCGAGCGTATTGAGCAGGCTCCGTATCCGACATGGGAGCGATCACATTGAGGTTTCCCAAAATGGTGAACCCTTCCACTGAAGCCACAGGGAAAGAACCCGGTTTGAATGGTCCTCAGTTTTGAGACACACACATTACAGTCCAGGAGCGACCCTTCGCACACCAGCAAAAAGGGGGACAGCTTCGGCAGATCCCGATGCTGTGACGCGGTGCGTTTTGGGGGAGGGCTTTGTGTTCTAGCTTGGGTGTGGCTTAAAAACCAGACCAGTCTTTGCCAGTCTTTGTTTCCATTTACAAAGGCGGCATTCTGGGTACCATTTTTTGAGTCACAGCTATGGAGTTCAGTCTGCCAAACGTGAGCAAGGCGGGCTTAAAGCCAAAGAGAGCTGCGCATGGATCTTGTGCTGCAAGCTGACAGGCAATGCTCAAGGCTCTCCAGGCTCTCATCGGCTCAGACGGCAAAAAGCCAAGGGAAAGGCCTCTAGGCCGGTGTGGCATCACCCACCACTGCTTTGCTGTATTGTCTCTGTGCAAAGTCTCTCCCTCCCGCGCCTTGTTCGCACAGGCTCTGTCCGTTGACCAGTGAACCTGCAACTTGTGGGGCGTTCATTCTTGCGGTGCGTCACCATCCACGGCAACCTCACCCACACGTGGTGAAACCAGCAGTTCGGCCGTGCCTGCATCTGCTTGACGCAGCGTGCCAATCCAGGCCTGGCCAAGCGCGGCTTCACGCGGCTCAAAGAAACTGAACAGTGGATTGAGATTGAAGACACAGCCCTTTTTTGCGCCTCCCCAAAAGGCGAAATGTGAAACCGCACCCGCCTCTCACCTTGGCCCTACGCCTCCCTCAGAAGCAGCCAGGAAGACTAAGGACCACCCACCATGTGCCCCCTGAGGGATGCTCGTGAGGCTTACTGAGCCGCTTAGGGCATCGGCTGGCCCCGGCAGTTGGGTGAAAGTAGATGGCACGGGTCCACCTGACCATAGGACTATCCCCTGTTGCCACCTGGGCCAAACAAGTGGGACCCCCCGCAAAAAGGAACTTAACCTCCTGCCGATTTGGGAAAAATGGCTGTGGGTCAAAACCCTGTACCCCTGGTGAACGTCAAAATAGGTGGCAAATGGATGTTCATCCACCCCAAAATGGGATCGCCATAGGTTATGCCCCACGGCCAAATGATGCAACACCAAAGCAAAGGTGCGTTTTGGTTTTCCAGGGGCGCCCCTGGCAAACCCGTTTCGGGGCAAAAGGGAGAGAATTTCACCCACCAATGCTCCCTCCTCCCGCCTGCCGGGAGCGAAGCCCATGGGCTCCAGCACCTTGGCCAGGCTGGCCGCCACGATGGTCCTGGGCAGAGCCGCGGTCTTGGGGCTAGGGGCGGGTGTTGGGGTCCCGAAAAAGGGTCAGCTCTCCAAAACGGGTACCGAATCGGCTCGGTTTGGTGGTGAAGGGAACCCCATTTCGCCTCTGCAGGGGTTCAAAGTAAAGGGCTGCGTTCTTTTTTTGATTTTGGTTTCACTTTGTAATAAGAAACTAAAAGGGGTCCGAAATCCATTTGGATCAACACCTGAGGGGGATTTTTTGGGGGGGTTGTTTTCCTGCAAAACTAAAGGACTGCTCACTTTCGGGGTCAAGTTTCGTTGTCCTTCAGCCCCGAAAAAACACAAATGCACAACCCCCAGAACGGTACGGACGCCAAACAAAAGGAACCACCAGATTAAACATGCTCAAACGCCGGATGGCAGGGGGTATCTTTTCCACTCCCCAACAAAAGTTGTGCAACTAGAGAGCTTTCTGATGCAGAGTTAAGGTGGTCGCTGATTGATGTTGAGGTTTACCACCTCCAAAACAAGTGACATCAAACTGACCCTCCAAATGGTTGTTTCAAGGGAAACCTCCCTAAAAAAAGCAGCCCTCAGAACGCAGCCACTTGAATGGGACCCCGTTGGAGCCGATCCCACGCTGGGCACGGGATCGCTCGCGACATCGCGGGCCTCGTCTCCATGAGGCGCTGGGGGAAGTTGAGATCTCGCCGATCCCACAAAGCCTTCCTCCGGGACCTGGTTGTGGGTCAAAATGAAACCAGGAATCGATTCGGACCGCAGGTTTTGGTCCATGTCTCCATTTACCATGGCAAGCCATTTTGGGTACCTATTTTTGATCCACAGCCACTTGAGGATTGGCAAAATCACCGCGGGTTTGCGCGGGGGGTTGCTGGAACAACGCGAGTCCCCGGTGAAATTTGGTGAGTTTGTCTGGCGATTTTTGAGTAAACGTTTAATGCTCCGAAATGGACTAGACATTTTGACTGAACCGAGTGCCTCAAGGGATCCCAAGCCCCACCAATGGCTCTGACATCAAAAACCGCCTGACGCCATTGCGTATTCAAGATTTGGAGGATCAAACTCATGTGCGGGCAAGCTCCCTGGAAGCCGTACCAATCAAACAGCGACAAGCTGAGGCGAGGACTGAAAATCAGAGCCGGACAAAACCTGATTCGAATGCGGGGTACCGTTCCATCCACTTACATAGAACCTGACTGGGGGTTCCATGTTGGTCGACAGGAAGGCATGCAGGGTGCGAGGCAAGCAAATGAACGGGAATAGGACACCCCCAAAACAGTGGTATTCTCTTTGGTGTCCCGTTGAACCAACGCAAAAAAAAGGTACCCTCAAAATAAAGACGCTGCCTATGAACATCATAGCCAAATAAAACTCGCCAAAAAGGGTAATGTTCGGTCTACAGCAAAGGCAAAGGGAAGACACTGCCATGCAAATTCTAGAACCACCATTTCAGCTCAAAAGCCCCTGCTGCGTTTCAACAATCATCTCTTGCGAAGCCACAACTGAGCGACGTGACAATCATTTTGGTCTGAAGCAAAATTAAGCACGAGGGACCACAGATTTCGATCAGGTCTTCCTTTATCAACTGGGAGCGTCTAGGAATGGGAGACAAATAAAATCATGGTGTTCCTCTAATGATCACTTCAAAACGACCCAACAAGGGTACCCTTTTTTGAAAGCTTGAAAGACACAGGTTTGGCCTTTCCGAATCGACTTCACTTCGTGAAGCAGCCAGCCTCCTCCCACTTCTTCATGAGCTCCAAGCATTCCGCGGGATTGGACACGACGGCGGTGCCTGACCCACAGGTCCAACTGCTTGCCTCAGGAGGGCATGAGGAAATTGGGTCTTCCCCCCAAACTTCTGCGGGAACTTTGGCTTTGCCCCGTCTCGCCCTTCCCCGCCAACAGCAGACTGCCAACGACACTGTCAATCACAGAGGTACGACACTTTCATTGATCTTTGGGTGGACATTAAAGAATCCCCTGGACATCAAACATAAAACTGGAACATTCCCCAGGTACCATCGATTCTTTCGCTGGGGATTGCCCTTCCCGCCAACCCTTGTGGATGTTCCAACCACCTTCGCCGCATCGCTTCGGCATCGCCGCATCGCCTCCGAAAGGCTCGTCGGGGATGTACCTCTTGATCACCGACGCGCGCGTCTCTTCGTCCAGGCCATCCAAATACCTGCGATGCTGAAGCAACAAATCCATACCTTGGACCCATTTGCCCAACTATCACCACGCCTGTCCGCTGGCATGTGGATGGGCATGGGAAGATCTTCTTCTGCACTGACCTTCGACTGCCGGACTGACTGCGCAGTATCACTCGCCAGTCCATCCTTTTCACCAGCGAATATCGCCTGGATCCAGTCCTGTTCCCTTTTTTGAGGTCTGATCATGGTTCCGCATTTCTTCCAAAACCGGGAGTGTACGCAAATCGAAGGACATCTCCCCTTTTTTAGGTCCCATTCGAAGTGCCCGGCACTGATTCTGTGGGGCAAAAAGTCCCGAACAGCTCTTCCCTGATTGGCCACTCACTGTGAGTATGCTCGAGGACAGTGCAAAGGCATTCTAATTCAGCGTCTCACGCACTGCCATACCATCAAGTGTAAATGTGGGCCCCATGGTCACAGAAAATGCCCAATGGACAACAATGTGATCTTCTGCAGCTCCCATGGTTTGCATATTACGAAGGTGAAAGCCTAACAACACCAAAAGCATCACCCAGCCAGATGTGGCAGCCAGGCATGTGGTAAGCTGAGAATGTCGCCTGTGCAAAGTGGCTCACGATCTCTCCGACCCATCTATCTACCTGACAAGGCGGAAAGCCGCAAGGCCGTCTGACACATTAGCGCAAACCGAGCTGATCAAAATGGCTGGTTAGCCAATCCTAATCCATAATCCCACATGGCAAAACCACTACAAAGGAGACCCTATTCATAACGCAAGGGAAGAATGAGGGATGGCTGTTGAGCGTGTGCGGCAGCACCCCAAACTCCCTGTGCGAGTCGTGGCCATGTCTCCCTCGGTAGGAGCCTCTACCTTGGTTGTCGAATATCCCTAAGACATTTATGACCATGCCACTGATCCTGAATGTGAGTCATCTTTCCCTTACTTGGAATATCGTTAGTTGTTGTCTAATATCATATTCCAAGGTTCATGACTAGTTCTACCGACCCCAAGTGTATGGTTGCTTCGACCATGGCACGTGTGTCACACCTCCTGAGGTTCGTGCACACCTCAGCACCAAGGGGGCCTCGGTGTGCGCGGTCGAGGCAACCCCCGCACGGCCCCCCAGACTTTGGTTCTCAACCTAGTAAGTAGGTGATAAGCTTGATTGTACGAGTGGTAGCCATCTCTGAGGTGCACCAAACATCTAATGAAGTAAATATTGGGGGCCAAGGACCATCGCTCCCCCTGGCTATGGCTAGGAGGACAAATTGTTGAGCTTGCTTAAGTCCCCTGGAGAAAACATCGAAATATGTCCAGTGATAGATCCCCTTCAAAGCCAAGAGGGGGAAAATCAAGCATCTTCAGGCGTTTTCCTCAGATCCCCGAGTCTAACTTTTAGCGAGTGGGGAACCTACCACTTAACCAACTCAAAAGCTAAAAGCCTAAACTCGATGGCTGGGGACCACCAGGTACTAAGCAAAAGTCGAAGCGGTTCAACAGCTTGGCTCCGGGCACTTGGGTCCAGGATCGAGCCACTGCTAGCTTCCTGCGAGAGGAAGCTGGCACCAAATACGTGGGTACCCTTTTGAGGTCGGCTCAAACGGAAGCCAAATACAAAACCAGCATGTCATTCTTGTTGATGTTATTTTTGCCTTCTCATTTTTTTTTGGGGGGGGTTCCGCCTATCATGGAACAGACCCCAGAAGAAAAGGTGTCCCTCAAGAGAAGGTCCGCTGGGCTCCAAGTTTAGCTGGAGGATTTGGAATGACATCTACCGGAGCCCCACTTGAGCAATTCAGACACAAGACACGCAGACCCCCGGCGGTCCAGGATCTGCGCGGCCGTTTCTCGCTCCTGAAGGGTTGAGCACGCCAGCACCAGGCTATCCGGAAAGCACGTTGCAAGTAACTGGCTGACTTTGGCTGTACTAACAAACAACCGTTGCAGTCTCTTGGACGTGGCAAAAGGGTGTCAAAAGGGTGGCCGTCAAACCGCTTGGTTTCACGTTTGCATCCAATATCGAGATGAGCCACTTTTACAGCTCAAAGTTTTGTCACCCATATGGCTCTGAAGTTCAATGCGGACCTCCCTCAAAACCGATCAGAGTCAAATCTCCACCTAAGTGGCGTCCCGCAAAGGCTCCCTTTGAAACCCAGTGTGGAAAGCAAAAATCACACGCGACTGGAAGCTGTTCCCGGGCATTCCGCAAGCACGCGTTCACTCCTTGACGCCAAGCTCCTTCAAAGCCTCCAAGGCCAAAGCCTGCAAGAGCCAGCGAAGCGACCCCGCCTTTGACCCAACCTGGGCCCAGGGGCCCAGAAACCAAGCTAGAATCTACCATGTCCTCACAGACCTCGTGGTGCCGCAAGGCTCCCCATTTAAAAGCAACTTTGGATACCCCCAGCTCCTTCCCTTCCGACCACCAGCTAGGAATAGAGGTCAAAAGAAGGACTTCGGGGTGTGGAGGGACACCCCATGTCCTCTTGCCTTCCTTCAATCTATTTCTGCAATTGCTACTATAGTTTCAAACTCTGAATTAACGCACCTCTTCTCTCGCCGCCCTCTTTTCCACTTGCGCAGCGCTCCCCGCGCACACGCCGAGCGCAACGCGGGCGGAAGCGCCGCAAGTTGCCGCCAGCTCGTCCTGCTCCGCTGGCCCCGGCACCTTTCGGAGGGCGTCGGAGGAAGGTCCAGCGCTCACGTGTCTTCACCTCAGCGCAGAAGTGACGTTTCAGGTAGGGTGAATGACCCACACACAAAAAAAAGCAGAGAACTTGAGGGTGCTGAGTGGCACGTCTCATCATGCTTCTTGTGCTGTGCAAAAGATGGCAGGAATCCCCAAGTTATGGCAAGTGAACAAGCGGTGACACATTCAAGGCATCTCCAAGTACTGCCCCTCTTCTGGGCAGCATACACTCTGCCCTCCCCCCTCCCAACATGGCACGAACTGCCCCCCCCCCCCCCAGGGGTAGGCCAGGTAGCTGTCGGCTTTCTCGCCCTGCACCCCATCAGCCTGAGCCACTCAAGCTATCTGGGACACCAGTTCCCACGCCACGAGACTAAGACGTTCGAGTCAAAATGCGGGAACCGTATGCCTTTGGTTTCCCTTTACAATCCAACAACAGATACACGAAGTGAAGATGCGCTCTCAAACAGCCAGGGAAAGGCAAACAGGTCGATACCGGCGACTATGATTCATAGACCGGTAGCAAAGGGAAAGCCCAGCCCCGTATCGAAATACAATATGCGCGTTGTTTTCTTTAAGGGATCCCCATGATGGAAAAACGTGGTACTCTCACAACAGGCACACCCATATGCGGTCCTGTCCGAAGCAGAAGAACTGATGTTCGTAGTTCAAGGCATGGGCATTTATTTTCTGAGGGTACCCTCTTTTGGGGCTTCGAAGGGTTGGGGGGCTACCACCCACTTTAGGAATTCCCTGAAAGGGAGAGATACCCAACTGGGCCGCAAGCTCATGGAAACCCATCGTTTCCACCTGACCTGACATACCTGACGAAAAAACTTGAAAACCCCATGAAAAGTCCAGGGAATCCCCGGGGAAACCCGAGGAAAATCGAGGAAACCCGAGGAAAACCAGGGGGGAAACCGGGAGCAAAACCATGGGAAGCCATCAAACGCCGGCCTCAGCCTTCTTCCGCCGCCTCCGCGCGCGCCGCGCCTTGTTGCTGCGGATGCGCTTGGCTTTGCGGTCGGCCTGGACGTGGTTTGCCAAGCCCACCGCAACCCCCCCGCCCCCCAACTGAGAGTTTTCACAAATCCCCCACAAAAGCCAAACCGCGCCCTGCAAAGGGACATGAAGGGAGGTCCCGCAGACTCTCCTAGGAAACGAGGGAATTTCTGGAATGGCACCGCTTTCCGCTGGGAGGACGGTCGCATACGACCCTACCCGCCGGTCACATTTGACCCTACCCTACTTTGGCTTCAAAAACCATGCCAACATGGCAGCGTAAAGCTCCAATTCCACGACATGGCCACGCGAAACGCGCCGGTCACATTTGACCCTACCCTCCTTTGGGCTGAAAAATCAGTGCCAAATGGCAGTACTATGTTCCAATTCCACGGCAGGGCCACGCGAAACGCACCGGTCACATTTGACCCTACCCTACTTTGGGCTCAAGCAACATGGCCAACTGGCAAAGAAATGGCAGCATCAAGCTCCAATTCCACGACATGGCCACGCGAAACGCACCGGTCACATTTGACCCTACCCTACTTTGGGCTTAAAACCAGTCCCAAGTGGCAATACTATGTTCCAATTCCACGGCAGGGCCACGCGAAACGCACCGGCCACAAGCGACCCTACCCTACTTTGCGTTCAAGCAACATTGCCAGCTGGCAACGAGATGGCAGCCTCAAGCTCCAATTCCACGGCAGGGCCACGCGAAACGCACCGGTCGCATTTGACCGTACCCTACCTGACGGTTTCTTGCCAAATGCGTCACTTTAGGTCTTGAGGCTTTTACATCGCTTTCAGGTATAGTCATCACATCACTTTAGGGCTTTCTGGTTTGCTGTCCCTTCTTTAGTTAGTCACCACGTCACTTTAGGGTTTCTGGTGCGCTGTCACTCCTTTAGGCAGTTACCACATCACTGTAGGGTTTCTGCTGCGCTGTCGCTGCTTCAGGTAGTTACCACATCACTTTTAGGGTTTCTGCTGCGCTGTCACTTCAGGTATAGTCACCACATCACTCAAGGGTTAGGGTTTAGCTGTCACTTCTTCAGGTAGTTACCACATTAC